AAATATGTGGAAAATACTTTTAAATTATTTTGAGTTTCGGAAGCTTGAAATATGCAACTATGCAGTATCCGCACAGTCTGCATCCCTTACACTGGCTTCCTCCTCCCGCCTCTCTGACTGTCCTGGACAGGCTTGGAAGATTACACCCATGAATTTCACTCCGCATCCTACACATTTCCATGACATAATAAGATGTAGGAGCAGAGTAGGCCATTTGGTGCATTGAGTCTGCTCCACAACTCAATGAGATAATTGCTGATCAGATCATTCTCAACTCCACTTGCCTTATCTCCATAACCCTTGATTCCCTTACTGATTCAAAATCTGCCTATGTCAGCTTTCCATAGGTTGACCACTCTCTGAGAGAAAAAAATTCCTCCTAATCTTTGTTTTAAATGGCTAAGCCCATGCTCTCTACTCCTAGACTTCCCCAAAGGGAAATAATCTCTCCACACCTATCCTGAAATGCCGCCTAAGAATCTTTTCTGTTTGAATCAAGTCTTCTCACATTTTCAGTTCCAACCTTCAGAAGAAAATTCCTCCATTCCGGAATCAATATGGCGAACCTTCGTTAGACTTCTTTCAAAGCCAATATATATTTTTCCTTAATTAAGGGCACTAAATGGTTAATAGTTTTCTAGGTGTGGTCTGACTAGTACCTTGTACAGTTTTAGCAAGGCCACCCTATTTCTATACTCCGTTCTGTTTGAAATAAAGCCCATCTATTTGTTTTCTCCATTACGCACTAACAAGGCAGCCAGTATGCTAACTTTTTGAGATTCATGCATAAGGACCTTATGCTGCAGCTTTCTGAATCTTTCCTATTTAAATAATATTCAGGTGCTCTATTTATCCTGCCAAAGTGCATAAACTCACATTTGCCCGCACAATATTCTATATGCCAAATTTTTTGCCCTTCACTTAACCTGTCTGGCTGATCGAGTTTGCTCCTCCATTAAATTATGCCTGGATGTTTCTCCCTGTGGCTGAAGAAATTCCTCCTCACCACAGTTCCGAAGGGCCACCCTAGTGGAAACATCTTCTCCACATTCACTGTATCCAGGCTTCTCAGTTTCAATCAGATACTCCTCATTCTAAATTCCACTGAGTACGGACCCAGAGTCCTTAACCACTCCTCATATGACAAGGCCTTCATATCCCAAATCATTCTTGAAAATCTCCTTTGGATTCCCTCCTTATATATTTCAAATATGGTCTGACCAGAGGCTTATACAGCCTTAGCAGTACATCTCAGCTCTTGTATTCTGGCCCTATTGAAATGAAGGCTAACATTGCATTTGCCTTCGTAACTGCCAACTGAACCTGCATGCTAACCTTAAGAAAATCCTGAACCAGGACTCACAAGTCCCTTTGTGCTTCAGATTTCTGAAGCCTTTGCTCATTTAGAAAATTGTCTACCCCTCTATTGTTCCTAACAAATGGCATAACCTGACACTTTCCCATACTGTATTCCATCTGCCACTCCCTTGCACACTGTCCTAGCCTGTCCAAGTCCTTCTGCAGCCTCTCCACTTCCTCATCGTGACCTGTCCCTCCACCTACTTTTGTGTCATCTGATAACTTCGCGACAATGCCCTCAGTTCCTTTAGCAAGATGCAATGTATTTAGCAGCCTCCTGTGTGGCACCTTGTCAGAGGCCTTCTGGAATTCCAAATAGATCATGTCCAGTAACTCTCCTTTATCTCACTCACCCATTACCTCTTCAAAGAATTCTGACCGATTGGTCAGGTATAACTTCCCCTTGATGAAGTCATGCTGAATCAGCCTTATTTTATCATGCACTTCCAAGTATTGTGCAATCTAATCTTTAAGAATGGATTCTAAAATCTTATCAATGACTGAGGTCAGGCTAACAAGCCTATAGTTTCCTGTCTTCTGCCTCTTCCCTTCTTCAGGGAACATTAGCCATTTTCTAGTCCTCTAGGACCCTCCCTAACCCCAGTGATTCCTGAAAGATCATCACCAATGCCTCTGCTATCTCCTCACCTATTTCCTTCAGAGCCCTGGGGTGTAATCCACTGGTCCGGGTGATTTATCCACCTTCAGACCTTTCAACTTCCCTAGCACCCTCTCCATAGTGATGGTCACTACACTCACTGCTGTCCACTGACTCTCCTGAAGTCCTGATTTGCTATTGGTTTGTTCCACTGAGAAAACTAATGCAAATTACCCATTCAGTTCCTTTTTTCTTTCTTTCTTTGTTCCCCGTTACTTCTTCTCCAGCCTCTCTTTCCAGTAGTCCAATGTCCTCTCTTACCTCTATCTTACCTTTTAGATATCTTAAGAAAAAATGCTTGCAATCTTTTACATTACTAGATAGCTTGCATTCTCATTTCATCTTCTCCCACCTTATTGCTTTATTAATTACTCTCTGCTGGTTTTTAAAAGGCTTCCCAGTAATCTTCACTGCACCCTTTTTGCTTTTTTTTTGTTTTTGTGCTTGACCCAACTTCCCTTTTCAACCATGGTTGCGTCATCATTCCCGTAGTATGTTTCTTCTTCCTTGAAATTAATTTTTCCTGTGCTTCTCAAATTGCTCCCAGAAACTCCTGCCATTGCTACTCCACCATCTTCCCTGCTAGGCTCCCTTTCCAATCATCTCTGGCTAGCTCCTCCCCCACGTCTTTGTAGTCTCCTTTACTCAGTGCAATGCCATTACATCTTTAACTTCTTCCATAATTTTTCGCACACTCAATGTAGCAAGGGGTTTTAGCCCTAATGGTCTGAGCAGGATTAAAATAGGGTTTGAATATAAGTACTGTGATTCTCTTGTAATTATTTATTTGCGTATCTGAAGGAAAGTCTAAAATTTAACATTATCCAGTGATTCCTTATTGGCAGCCAGTATGTATTTGAATATATTTGATTTTTATTTTAGAATTTTGTTTTGTTCTGTAAAAATTGAACCAGTCAGTCAACTGAGAGATTTGGCAAAAGCTTTATTTGATAAAGTTAACTGCTTTTTGTTATTTACTTTGAGTAAAAAGCAAAGAACAACTTTGGTATCTGCCATTTCTACTTTGAGACCAGACTTCCTCTTGATGAATATCTTCAGACATATCTTGCTTCCTATGCAATTATACAGTTGTATCCAGGCAATCTTCACAAATGCATCATTTTTCCTGTTGCATGAAGTTTTAAACTATTTTCTGTTTGTCAAATGTGATAGAGTTGTTTAACTTTTAGTGGCTCCTAGTATCTGTTGCATATTTGTACAAAATCTGTGCAGAATATCAGACCTGTTAAAGATTGATCAAGATTTCCCATTCGATGGGTAGTGGAAATACGATGATCTTTTGGACCGAGTCGTCAGCTGATCTATCGCTTGCAAATCCAAAAACTGATGCTGTAGAATTACAAAGATAATACAATACTGAAACAAATCGTTCACCAAACTGTTTTGTGGTGTTGTTTATTCTCCAAATTTATATGCCCACTATGTTCCCATTTCTAATTATTGTCCCCTCTTCCTTCAAGCATCTATCCAGCCTGTTCTTAAATGTTGATCTAGTCTGTGCCTTAGTCACTAAATTGTTACACAGCCTTGTCATCAGTGATATCGGTAGTCACTCACTAACGAGTATGTTGTCCCCTTAGAAAATTTTGTTTCAGTGGTCATGCGTTCTCTGAGTCCTTGCATGGCTGATGAGCCCTGAGCCCAGAGCCACATCTCTGACCACACATTTGGCAGGTGTTTCCAGAAGGGGAATTGATCCTTAGCATCATTTGCTGGTATTCCTTACTCAGGTTCCTTTTCCGTACTTCCTCTTGCTGACAGGTCTTCTCAAAGAACTGTGTCCCTTCATACAAGAGGTTCCTCCAAGTCAGTCTCTTCTGAAGGTCTGTCACGTGTTGACATCTAGGATGCATTTCTTGATTAAAGCCTTCAGGGAGCCTTTGCAATACTTCCTTTACCTACCTGTCATTTAAGTATCTTTCTTAAGCTGGGTAAAGGTGATTTGCTCTTGCCGTCAGATGTCAGGCGTCTTAATCATGTGGCCAGGCCAGCGGAGTTGGTTTCAGATGATCTTAGATTCAAATTTTTACCGTATGTGGGTTGGTAAGTCGTCCATTTAAGCCTACCACTTCAGAACGGTGGATGAAAAAATACATCATAGAACAGCCACTAGGATAACTATACGTTATAAGCAGTTTGTGTTGCAGAGAAGTAAGAATAGCTAAAGCTTCAAAAGCAGGGATTTGTCGTATTCTGTTTGCCCTATTTTAATGTGGAGGCACTAAGCCAGGAATTAGTTCACTGATGAGGTTTGGAAGCAGCTAAAATTATTCCTTTTTTAAAAGTCATTTCATGTCAGTGAAATTAGGTTTTTGAGCGCTAGGCGAATTAAATATTTTTCACCGATCACCCAATATTGGCATTGCTACTTAGAATAAAATAGAATTAGCTTCATTGTTACATGTACTCAAATGAATACAGTGAAAAGTCTATAAGTCACCGCTTATGGCGCCATCTTAGGTACAAAGCTCCGTCGGTACAGCTAACTGCTAGTATGTAATGAATCAGATTTGAAGTACAGTATATCTTTCTGTACTTTGTACAGTTTTGTTTTTCATAGAGGTCTGAACGCTGTTTGCTTGTTAGTTTTTCAACGTAGCCTTTTGTCTGCTGCATTGGAACCTGGGTGTGTAGAAAACAAAATCTTCTAACTTCCATGTAGACCAGAAGTTAAATATTTCTTGGAAAAAAGTGAATAGTGTTCATGTATATAAATTTAGATTGATTAAATATGTGCAACCATGGTGATCTGAATTTTGTCAATATTAGTCAAAAGTAATCCAGTAAGATTGCTCTACGACCACGCTTCTAACTTCAGTTATCCTATGGAAAGTCTCTTTGAAGTTGGTCAAATTGAGCTAAATTTGACGATTTACAATACTTTACATTTTCAACTGAAGTTAGAATTTGCAATCGAACCCCAGAAATTTCTTACAACATCTCCCCTTTATGTATTTTACAGTGAGGAGTCGTATTCAGCAAGGTTTGATCTCAATTGCTGCCCGGACTGTGATAATTCATTTGGTAAACCACGTTGGCCATTATCCATTGAGTGGTGGCCCAGCAATGCTGACCAGCTTAATAAGTGAAAACCATGACAATCCCTTTACTGACTGCACTGAGCTTTCCCCTGAACTTTTTGAAAACCCTAATCTCCAGTTTTTTGTGCTGAACAGTTCAACACTTATTTCATACCTGGAAATCCCTGTTGAGGACAATATCCCAGGAGGAGGGATGTCGGCTGGACTCTCAACAGCTACCTCAAACGTTAGAGTTGTGGTACGTGATATATCTGGTAAGTACTCCTGGGATTCTGCAATTCTATATGGACCACCTCACTTCTGTCAACAAAAGCAAATTACTTCCAAGGTCAGCAATCTTTGCAGAGAAGAACAGATGGCTGAACCTCTCTCCAATGAAACAGAAACCGATGATGTAGATTTAAGGGACTATTTGGTACCTCAAACAAAAAGAAGGTGCGGGGAAATTGTGCCATCTTGGGATGTAATCCGTGATGATGAAGATGCCTTGGATGAGATGTTGCAGTACCTTGGTTCCACCAGTCCAGAATGTCTCCAGAGAGCTGGTGTGCAACTTAATATCCCTGCTGCCGCTCCTGTTTGTTTTTCAGAGAAACAGGAAAATGATGTAATCAATGCAATTCTAAAACAGTACACAGAAGAGAAGGAATTTGTAGAGAATCATGGCAATGACCAGAATATGAAAGCAATGGAGCAGGAGGAGCCATGCCCACAAGAGCCTCAGTCTGTGTTTTACTATTGCAGGATGCTGCTGAATATTCTTGGCATGAATTCATGGGATAATAGGTAAGATGTTTAAAAAATATGATTTATGACATGTATGCTTTAGAAAATAATTCTACGTTTAATTAAAAGATCTGTCCACTTGTTCTAATCTTTAGTTATAAAAGATGTGCCCATCCCTGCACACTTGTTAGTAGCTTACTATAACTCATGTTAAAATTGAATATTATGTATTCATATCAAATTTTGCAACAGAAGTAAATTTCTTTTTGTTTTATTTCAATCATCTTCAAAAACAACTGCACAGAAAATTCTGTTTCTGAGGAAATCATATGTTAGATCAAAATGTTATGTTTTAAATATAGTAGGTCAGCTAATGTAGGATCAACTACTATTCTATTGGCCCAAATTCTGTTCCTTTAAGTCATGCCTTGTTGTGGTGTTGAAACAGGCTCTCAGTCTAAGCCCAAGGTAGGTTAAATGAAAAGGTACTTTTCTTTTTGTAAAATGCATTCTCATCCAAATCGCTTTGGTTGCATTCTTTTTACAGCACACAACAACTAAGCTTTACAATGAATACTAAAACAGTGCTGTCCTTTTTAGAACATGGATATATTAAAACCAAGAAAATTTAGCTCAAGTTAGTTATCTGCATGTTAGCTGTTTGTCAGCTGGTCTCTGTAGACATTTTAGGAAAACCATCAAGCGAGTGAAAACAGCACAACCAAATAGAAATCGATCTTATTGGTTCACCTCTTTATAGCAATTCTTCTGGATCTTATCTGTACAATCGCGAACCATTTACTGAATTCTTTCTACAACTGGTTGGGACTACCATCACATGAGAATGTTCTGACAAGTTTAAGCTGCCTCAGTTCCTAAAATGGATTGAGCACCTTGGACTCCCCCAGAAATTAGGATGTCTTTATAATACTTGAGCCGAACAGTCAACAATCATCCTACAAGTTCTGTCATCTATAAAGAGAACTGTCCAACGTAATATTTAACTTGAATCCTTCTAATAGTAACTCCAGACATGCAGATTGGTTCTGACTTGTGACGATCCAGTAAGAAAAGGATAGCATACACCAATTCTACTGAATAGAATTTGTACACATACGTTATGTAATTATAAGCAGTCTCACACAGAAACACAGTCCACAATCATCTCAATTTAAAATCCTCATATTTGAAATTTAATTTCAATTCCCTCATGACTTCACCCCTCCCTATCCCTCTAAGCACCTCCAGCTCTGCAAGTCTTTCGAGGTCACCGCATTCCCCAATTTTAAATGCTCACTATTGACAATCATGCTGTTGAGGCCCTTGTATCTAGAATTACTTTCCTTAAACATCTGCATCTCTCACCTTTTTAAGATGCTCCTTAAACATTTTAAGTCGGCTTCTAATTACTGTAATTATTTAATTGCCTCCCCAAATAGCTTGCTATATGCCTCTGTCTAACTTTATCTGACAGCTGTCTTGTGAACGAGCTTGGATATTTTATTACATTAAAATTGTGATGTAAATGTAATTTGTTGTTGTATGCAGAAACCTTCCTATTGCTTTTTCCACTTGTTGGACAAGTCAAAATATTTGTCTGAAGAGATTTAATTCCTTTCATAGAGCAATCACTGCTTAGTATATCTGTCATTCAAAAGTACTATTTTAATGAGCTGGAAGCATGTCATTCTTTTCTGATGTCTTGCAGTGCGTAACTGCATCTTGAGCAAGTATAGAATGATTATTGGCATAAGGCATGATTGTTTGGAAGCAAAGCAAAGCTGAGAGTTGGCTATGTCTTCAAAAGAACGTGAAATACCAAATACCAGCGTGAAATTTCCAAATGTTAGGATGCAGATTTCTGCATCCTTCCTAACATTTGGAAATACCCACGTGACAGGATTACTGTAGGCATATCTTGCCAGCCATCAAGCCAGAACAAGTGAATCTGCAAATACTCTTCATCATGTAATTAACCCTCTCAAAATTCTTGCATCTTCTTTGCTGTGGCTGGCAAATAGCGAGTGGTTAAGGCCAAGAAGGCCTTGATCTCTCAAATAAATTTTGCATCTGCTTCCCTGATCTTCCCTGAAGGGTATTCTTCATTGGGTATCAGCAGTTGTCTAGCATTTCCGGTACCATGTATTCCATAAATGTGTCATACTGTATCAGCAACAATTGCAATCTCTGAATTGTGGACAGCATCAAACTCCTTTGTGTTCAATCCATTCACTAAGTCTGTATCAATCTTAATCGGTAGGTCAGTTGGTCGGAGAATTTCTCATGCAGCTCAGTGACTGCTAGCGTTTCTTTTGCAAAAACAGCATATCTTAATTCTATATCAGTTCTTGAAGTATATTAGATTGGCTGTCTGATTCAATCATAATGAATCTGGAATAAGAATGCTCTCAGACCAACAGGTGATGTACCAACAGCTTCTTTAGTGGGAAGTTTAGGGTCATAGTATGTGAGGACCTCAGACAAAATCAGCATGTCTTTGATTCAGTCAAATACATGCCATTAATACTAAGTTCAAAACAATGTCTGATCTTGTTTCAGATGTTGTTTTAAAGGTTCACTTGCTTGAGCTAAAGTGAGGTAAGAATTTTCAGATGAGTGTTCTGACGAAGGGTCACTCTGCTCAAAATGTTTAACTCTGTTTTCTCTTCACAGATGCTGCCACATCTGCTGAGTTTTTCCATCAGTTTCTGTTTTAGTTCATTTCAGATCTCCAACATCTGTTTTTTTGATTTATTTAAGAATTTTGTGATCTGCTGCACTGTTCCTATAAACTCCATAAACCATGCAAATCCATGATCTTCCTGGGTGGCAGAAATTTCTGGTCTTTCCTGTCTTCTGCAGATCTGCTGTGATGCCCTGCTTCCTGTGCACTGTAACCTAAAACTTCTACTGTAGGCTTTGAGAATTCACACTTGTCATCAAATGTCAACCCAGCATCCTGTAATTTTCTCCATACTCTCAGCATTCAGTGCTTTAGTGGATTCATAAGTGATAGTTTCATTGATTATGCCTCCCATAAGTTTTTACTATGTTTAGTATAATCTGTTGGACAATATCAGATGTGTTGTGATTCCAAAAGGCAGGCTGTCAAAACATAACGTCAAGATGGTATAATAATGGGGTGAACAGTAAATTCCTCCTGCAAAGTAAGTTGCCAAAACGTGTTGTTTGCCTCTGGTTTGGTGAAGATTTTGCTATTTGAAACTTTAGCTAAGCTCTTGGCTATCGATGCCATTGAATGTATTATCATTGTACTTACTTTGTCTAAAGGCTTTCTCCCCATCTGTTCCCACTGCAATGAACGGTTCTGTGATTATCAAGATCCACAGTGAGCCACTGGACAATGTGGATCAATTTCCATACTTTGGATCCTTCTTAGAGCAAGGACTGATATCGACAATGAAATTCAACATCACCTTCACTGTATCAGCGCAGCCTTTGGCTGTCTGAATGTTTGATGTCCAAGACCTTAAACCCAAGACCAAGCTCATGGTCTGCAGGGCAGCAGTGTTACCAGATCTCCATTATCCATCAGATATGATCAATGTACAGCAGTTATCCAAACACCTTGAAAGTTATCACTAATAATGCCTACACAAAATTCTGCAAGTCCACTGATGGAATAAGTGCTTTAGTATCTTCTCTCAGGTCAATGTATCGAACTCTGAGGCAGTGGTTACTGTCAGTTACCTGCATTGGGCAAATCAAATCCTGCATATGCCTGACGGAAGACTTCCAAAACAAGCTTTATACTCTGAACTTCATTATGGCAAGCAAGCAATTACCAGGAGGGCAGAAGAAATGCTTCAAGAATATCTTCAAAGCCTCCCTGGAAAAACACAGTATCCTCACCAACTTATGGGACAATTTAGTCTAAGATTTCCCAAACTGGAGAAGAAGCACCTTCATTTCTAGCGTCTCCAACAGGCCCAGGTGAAGAGCAAACACAAACAGCAGAAGCATGTAATAACCCAAAGATCACATCTACCACTTCAGTCAACAGTACTTATCTGCTTGTGACAGGTTTTACACATACAGTATTGGGCATGTTAAATGAACTCAGGACCCACAATACTAGAGTGGAAGAATGTCATTCTTGATCCCAAGGGACTGACTAAGAAGAAAGAAGACTGTCTGTTCAAATTTAGTCAACACAAATTCTAATGGATCCATTCAGTTTTGGAACTGGGACTAGAGCAAATCACCATGTGGCTGGCTGTGAGACTTTCAAAATATCCCCCCTGTGGAGCATGGCCTCAATCTCGAGTTGTATCCTTGTATAAAGTGGGTATACGATTTTCCTGGTTGTGTGAAAATAGATGTTTGATATCTACTTCATTGCGATACAGTATGTAGTGTTCAGTTCCCACAGCCCTGAAGAGTTGTGAAAATCGTTGATTTAAATTGAATGGCTTATTCTGTCCGATAACTGTTTCTAACTTGCTGATAAGGTTGAGACCTATGCAGACTCTCCTACTTGGAAGTGAACATGGGTGAATGTAGGTAAGGTATAGTGTTTCAACAATTTCTCTGCATTAATGTTGCCTGAAGCTGGCCTTTGAGGCTGGTGCCTCTTGAACTTTGAGGCTTCGCAGATCCTTTAGCAAAAAACAATTGCTGTAACTGCAACCATGGCTCTCCACTACATAAATAAGGCTTTCTTTCAGCCTGTGAACCTTCTTCACGCCGTCATGGGGAGCTTGCAAAAACTGGTGCCTTTTCCACACACGTCTCCAGAAACTGCCCTGGCACACTTTGTTTCTGCATCCTCTATGTCAACTGTCCCCTTGTTTAGTTTGTAAGTTGCCGTCTGCCTTCTGGAAAGTTCTTAGATATGATAGAGTAGAATTCATTGCTCACCCTCATCGAAATACATGCCTTTCCACAGTCCTGTTTACGTTAACTGCTGGACTGGTACAGTGACTGGGTTGGCCTTCATGTGATTTTGCCACTACACTATAATTTGACTTGGCATCTCCTTGGGGTTTTCTCATTCTTCTATGGTTGTCTGCTGGACTGACCTTGTCATTCGCCTACTG